GAAGATTTTATTTATTTATTCATGAGAGACAGAGAGAGAGAGGCAGAGGGAGAAGCAGGCTCCCAAGGAGCAGAGAGCCCGATGTGGGACTCAATCCCAGGACCCTGGGATCATGACCTGAGCCGAAGGCAAACGCTTAACCATCTGAGCCACCCAGGCGCCCTGAGAGAGAATTTTTAACTTAAAAAAAAGTTATCTACTGCTAAGGATTATATCCCTTACCATTAAGAGGGCCCCACAGGCCCATTTATCTATGTGCTAAACTGCTCACGGAGCCTTCCTGTTAACAGATCTGCTACTAGGCACACAGTTCAGTTGGGTTCTAAGTACTGATTATTTTTTTTCAAGATCCGACTGAACATGGTAATATCACTCTCCTTAGAACAAGCATTGAGGATAATAGGCAAATAATATACATGACTGTTGCCTAAACAAAATGAAATATAGAAAAAACTCTTAAAAAGAATAAACATACACTTAATTAAGGGATAGAGAACAATTGTAAGTTAGCTCCTCTTTATCCTCCTGAAAATCTAACATTATGATTCAGAAAAAGTAAAAATAAATCAAAGTTTGCCCTAACGTGACTGATTCATTGCTACTTTTTTTGCTTTGCTATATCATTTCAGAGCAAAATTAGTGTTCTTAATTCACACACCACCATTAGCTCAATTAAAATGAGCTTAAAGAAATAATTATTCACAGAAAACCATTGTATGGCAGATAAAATTACAAGATATTTTTAAAAAATCCCAAGTGTTACAACTATCTTCCATCTACTGGCTGACAATGTATCTGTCAATTTTGGTCTATAAAATATCCATGTTCACTTTACTACCCTATACTACCCTATTCACATATTTCTTTGCTGTTTCTCACCCGTGATGCGTCTCCCTCCTGCTTAATCATATCCATTCCAGGCAGCTGGTTTGGGAAAAGGTTGCCTCCCCTCAGAGCAGGATCATTAACCTGAGGGCACAAGACGGTACAATGGCTATATTCAGTGGGACGTCCAAAAGTGTACTAGGGAGTAAGAACCAACCATCAATCTTCCTCCTCTTCTTGGTTTTTAGGAATAGAATTATGGGGAAAGATGACTATAAAAACGGCTCCATCCCTGTATCCACTCTCCCATGTATAGATTTTGGGGCGAGTGTGGAGGAACAAGAAAATAAATATTTAGACTAAACTGCCTTCCAAATTAAAATTTGCATTCTGTGTGGAAATTTGACAGAGACAATACTAGAAACATTTTCATGCCTTAACATGTTCACCTTTTTGGCTGGTTCCAATGAGACCAATGACTCATATGTGGGACTTTAAAGTCATCTGAGAAGCTCCTAATATCTTTGTTACTCAGGCAAGTTATTGATTAGGAAGAGCAGGTCTGAGTACCCAAGAGTGCTGAATTTTGGAAATCTTCTACAACCAAATGAACTATTCATTAGCATTCATACAATTCTTTTACAAATTATGAAGTAAAGGTAATACTAATACTGTATAGGACTGATTTTGTCCAAAGAAACACTACAGTTGTATTTTTTGGGCTTCCAAATTAATTCTGATATTCAAAAGGTTTAAATCTATGCACAAGTTTCTATGCAGACATGATCTGGATTATTAAAAATGCACTGATTTACTTCCAGGTAGGCTGCGTAGGACCCATGCTAGACTAGACCATCTCAGCGGCCCTTGCTTTATACAGTTTCCCTAGGAAGAAAATCAGGAACCACTACTGGTTCCTTTTTGTACAAAATTCAAAATCAACACTACATTTTCTCCATTAGAAAGACAAAAGTCTATCTTTAATTATGTCTGTTTAATTTACCCAAATAAGCATCAATTCAACTACAAGAAGTGCAAATTATTACACACACAGAGCTTTCTTAAATGGCAAAGGGCTTTAAATTTTCTCATGCACTACTCTGTATTTTTATTAACATCTTCTTATAGAACAAAACACTGAGGCGCTGTAAAATTTAGCAAAATTTTTCACACAAATTGTGGTTTGCCAACATTAGCTTAAATAGACCTAATCAAACTCTGAATCTTTCACCATTCTCACAAATATGATCTAACTGAAATGTACAGTTCTGTCAGTGACTTATTAAGTCATTTAAACCTCCTATGCCTTGATTTCTCCATACATGAAATAAGACTCAGGGTCTTTGCCACATCTCTACTTTGCATGTACTAGTGAGATAGTAGAATGCCAAGCATTTTGTGTCCTTTAGAAATAAGGTCTTCTGGAAATAAAATTTAAAAATTATTAACTGATATCTTTACCTGTGGATCAGCTACCACAGATTTTCAATCCCAGGCTGGCTACCCAAGATATCAATGCCTTCAGTCTCTTTGCCACCAAGTGAAGCTGGAATGCTCTTAGGGATAGTAGAATCATCACAGTCTTAGTCAGAATTACAGTCTTAAGCAGAATTCTTTAAAAAATATTGACCAGAAAACCATGGCACTCACACCCCCAAGATGATAATTAGAATAGTTTTTGGATGATCAGTGTCAGTCTCCCTGCACGAGTGAAGTATCATTTAAAACTGAATGGATGGGGACAGGGCGGGGGGTGGGGTGGGGAATAAAGCTAATTGGATGGCAGGCAGTAAGTCTGGCCTTTGCGATTCATCTGGTTTTTCATTTAGAAGAAAATCGGTTCTTAAACTATAAATCCAAAATAAAGCTATTTAAGAAGTACATTCACCATTCCATTTTTAGAGAGTCACTTTAGATATTGCTAAGTTCCTCAAGTAAGAAATCATTTAAGTGACAAAGTTAGGAAGTATTTTAAAAGATCCTTGAGTAGTCAAGAATCCTTTCATGTTTATTTCGTCATTAACAAGTATATCTGTTAATTGCACAAACACAGGTGAAAGTAAGGTGAGAAAACACTCATCAAAATAAATGTGGGAGTTGATGGTAGATGTTAAGTACATGGAAAGATACACTGAACGCAGAAATAGACAAAAAGTTATGATCAGAAGACAATGGGCTGCTTCTCAGGGTGCTCACCTGCTCAGGACCCATGGAGGACAGCCCTGACGTAGGCACGGAGGTCACTGAGGTCATGCTGATCTGTCCTGTCATCTGGTTCATGTTGCTCATCCCACCTGTGTTGGTCGCCATGGATACATTGATGTTCATATTGTTATTGTACATGCTGGTGTTTGCTTGTTGCCCAAAGTGTGGTGGGGACTGTTGTGAAAACATGCTAGAACATAAGGAAAAGATGAAAACGTCAAGAGTTGTAGGGCAAATAGGCAGGCAGTTCTGACACTTGCTTCTCAGGCATTTACTTCATTTACTTCATATTGAATAAGTCTAGGCTGAAAGAACCCAGGGTGAGGCAGCCAGCAGGGGTGAAGTCAGAAATGGTAGGGGAAGTGCTCAATGAAGCTACAGGGGTGACCACGCTCCTCTCCTTTTCCTAAGGTCACCGGGAAGGTCTAGAGATACATTTTCCACTTTCATGTCTGCACCCACAAGCTTTTCATTTGTTTGTTTTTATTACATGTACTGATAAAGGATGGCTTCTAGGGCATTGCCTTCCAGAGCAGTTTCTAGCTTAAATTGGTGGGGTGATACCTTCTGATGGGAGTTCCTTTTATTCCTACGGAAAAGATATGCTAAGCTTTTGTAAATTCTGATAACTTCTGCCCTAGGAAAACTTCCTTAATTAGTAGTTTGACATTGCTTGCTTGAGCAAAAAAGTTAAGAAAAAAACAGAAAAGATGGGCACCTGGCTGGCTTAGTTGGTAGAACATGTGACTCTTGATCTCAGGGTTGTGAGTTTAAGCCCCTGTTGGACGTAGAGCTTACTTAGTTAAAAAAAAGGAAAAATACTGAAAAGAGATAGGTGGTCTATAGAAAGATTCCCTGGTGATCATTTATATCAAAACGACACAGAAACACAGCATACCTGTTTCCACCCATATTCCCCTGCGCCCACCCATTCATGTCAGAGGAGGCCTGGTAAGCTGGATTAGCCTGAGACTGCTGCATCATGGGGCTCTGGGTATGTGCCATTCTGGGCGACATCAGAGGGCTCTGGGGCGTTGTCGCCCCAGTAAAGCCTGGATCAGGTTGCTGACTTATTCCTTAAAAAATAAAACAGAAATCCAAAGGAGATTGTTAGTTTTATGGTAGAGACTAGGAAGAAAAAAAGAGAACATTCAAATTACATACACACAGAAAATTACTTTCAAATACCTGATCACGTGCTGGTTAATTATATACACCTTAAACAGATTCCAAACTGGGATAAGATGCACGAAGCAAAACATTTCCATATTTCGCTTCTCTACAGTAGTCACAAGGGTGCCTAAGAACCATGTTAACCACCATGACTAGAGATAGAGAAAACAGTGTTCCTTCCCCTTATCTCTCTTCAAATCAAGAATGAGTCAAACAGATATATTTCTCTTTTACCTGAAATAGTCTTTAAATTTTTATATACCACTCCAATTGGATTGTTTAAACTTTAAATCAGATTAAAGTTCAGCTATATATAAAAAGTTAACACATCTGAATAATTTTTTATTGAATCAAGTCATTCTGTGATGAAATCAATGCATTTTTAAAAACTGCATCATGATTAGCTTGTTTCATCTCTATAAAGGGCTCTATGGCACTTCAGTGCAATCTAAGATGAGCAAGAATCAGAAAAAAAATTCAATGTAAGCTTCTTGTTCAGTTTAGAAGCAAATGGCATTTACGCTAAAAGAAGGAACTTTCAGAAGACTTTTCCAAGTCATCAAAAAGGACATAGAGGAAAGGAGCTTCGAAACAAAGGCAGCAACTCAGGAAATTTCAAGAAGGACAGTAAGGGAAGCGCGTTTCTGCCTAGATGTGTGCAATGTGCAGATTTAATGGATACTTAGATTAGCTGTGAAAGAAAAGTTTATGATCACATAGAAAAAGCTGCACAGTATCTGTTTAAGAAATCGGAGACATAAATGTCAAAGCACCACACAGACTTGATATTTATAGATAACTCTGGCAAAAGATAGGTAAAGTCATTTAGAATATTAACAACATAAGCACTTATCAGTAATTCAACCATTAATTGAACATGACATGCACACAAATATTAATGTTTATGACATTACACGTCTGTCTCTTAAGACTGACATTAAATAACAAATCAATATGAAGAAAACCAAGAGGCCTTCCACTGGTGTTTCTAGATAACACTTCTCAGGAATTACCTATTCATTAAAGATTTGGTATCATCTTTTTTTCAAAAATTATAGAATGTCGAATACTTGTATTTATATAGGTCTTCCAACATTTTGTATATATCTATTGATTTGTTTGAGTCAGACTCAGAGGTTTTCAAATATAAGTACATACATATGCACCTGTGTGTACAGATGTTGACAGAAACACATATATTCATACACACTCACACACACAACTGATGGACTGCACACACGCACACTTACTTCGGTCACTCTTAAAGTAAGACCTGCACTCAGAGAAAAGGTGGTACCTGAGCTGAGAGACTGGAAGGTACTGTGCTGGACCTGGGGACTCCTGACAGGCCCCAGCTGTCCTCCCAGGTTGCCTATCACTCCCTGGTTAGCCAGACTCATCTGGGAGCCATGCAAAGAGCTGTGAGAGAGGAGCTGAGACCCAAGACCGGGGGACACTGGGGAGAAAGGACTGGTGAAAGGTGGTGGGGATGGAAGCCCAGTACCGTAGTTCGGAGGAAACGGAAACTGTTGTGCATTTGCCTGGGGCATCCGGGGGTTGCTCAGAGTTGCTGGTAAGCTACCAGGAGCCACCATGCTCGAGGTCATATTCAACCCTTGTCCTCTCATCATCAATGTTCGCTGCTGAACTTGCTGTTGCTGATGCATTTGTCTCTGCCGAAGATGCTGGTTCAGGATTTCCCTCTGTCTTTGGGCCAGCATCTGTGCATTAATAGGTGCCTAAAATGGGGGTGAGGTAGGGAATACACAGAGGGAAACATTGGGGGAAGACACAGATTGAAAAACAAACTGTATATTAGAAACAGGACAAAATCATTTGGAAAATAAAATTACAGGGAAAGAACATTTTAGAGTTGAGCAATTGGTGGGTGAGGATGTGAGCTTCTAAATTCTAAGAGATGAAGATTTCTCTGAAACCTTGCAATGACTTACATGGGTAAGTTCAGTGTTAGTTCAATTAACTTGGAACTCCCTGTGAGAGGCACGGTTAACTAAAGGACCTCACAATACCAGTCCTATCTGTAAGAAGAATGTCATATAAACCTTAAAGATGGCAATCTGGAGTCTCATGCAAGGGACATTCAGGTCTAAAGGGAAACCAAATCATCGGTGCCAAAATGTGGCTTGAAGTCCATCAGAAAAGGCTGAACAGAGGCAGGAAGAAAGCAGGGAGGGTGTGTGTTGGGGGGGGGGGTGATAGGAACATACAGAACAGGCCAGGGCAGAACGAGGAGGAGGAAAGGAGGGATGGATGCAGGGAAGGGGTGCCAATGCTTGCTGCCAGCAAGAGGCATAAGGCTGTTTATGGGGTCCTAGCAATACACAGTCAATCCTCATTATTCATGGATTCCATATTGGTGAACTTATCTACTTGCTTGTAACCCCCAACTCAATATTCACAGCAATGCCCTTATTTATGGACAGGTGCAGAGAGGCAAAAAAAAAAAATTTTTTTTTTTTTTTTAAAGATTTTATTTATTTGACAGAGAGAGACACAGCGAGAGAAGGAACACAAGCAGGGGGAGTGGGAGAGGGAGA